GCCGTCTCCGCGCTCGGCCGGGCCTTCACCGTTAGCACGCGGGGAACGCCTTCACGCAGCGGGGGGGTGCTCGTGGAAAAGCCTTGCTAGGAAAAGAGCGAACAACGAACCGAGACCGAGCCAGCAAGGACAGAGGTAGTGTTCACGTCACCGTTTTCACGTCACCGTTTTCAGGATTTTTCCTACAAGTGCCCTGCTTCAACTACAGACTTGCGTTTGTTCTGTAAAAAAAAACAAATCATGACTAATTATTTTGCTGAGCCTTTGAAACCGAATATTTCAGCATTTTGATATATATAGATAGATAAGGAGATGCAAGTATCTATCTATACATACACTCACACAACACCACATTACTCTACCTGGCAAACAGTACTAGGAGTAGCATCCTGCAGGACAACAGGCAAGTCACACGCACAGTCCTCTTCCAAGCCATGCAAGACATTTTATTTTCCCTCGTGCCATTCATCGTGACCCATCACGGGTTTTTTTTCTCCCCCCTCAGAGCACTAGAGGGGGAAGCAGAGGTGGCATCAGACGAACTACCGCAAGTCAGATGATCAAACTGCATCGGTGCACTGAATAAACGCCACAAACCCCCCAAAATCCACTGCCCCCCCACCCACCAGAAGGCATCAACTTTTGTCCACCCAAAGCGTGTTCTTCAAGTTTCCAACCGCTGGCTTCGCTGCCAGCGGGGAGGCGACGTCTGCGCTCCTCAGCGTGGATTGTGGCTCACAGAGCACGGAAGACTCGCTCGAAACGGCCTCTTTCGAGTCCGTTACGGTCGACACATCCATGTCACTTGATAAGTCCTCGGAGGACAAGTTAAGACATCCCAGCTTGGCGAGAGAATTGGACCTCTTCAGAGGAGAGGACACAGTCAAGCCGGCCAGCCGCAGCCTGGTCTCAATCTCCTGCGTTCGCTGCTTCACCAGGCCGGGCTTGCCCCGCACGCTGTGGATGCTGTCGCTGCTGGAGCTCCGCGTCAGGTTGGAGCTGCGGGAGGACGAGGGGGTGTAGCAGATGGTCTTCAGAAAGTCCTTGGTGAAACTGCTCGTGTGCTCCGACCGACACGTGACAGGCGTGGAGGTTTTCTGAGAGCTCCCCTCCAAGACGCGTCTCACCTCTAACTTCTCCACGCCGTTTTCTGCGTCTCCGGGTATCAGCGGCGCCGGTCCCAGCAGAGGGACGAGGCCGTGATGCGAAATCAAACCCTCGCTCTCCTCCGCGATGCCAGCGTCGGCTCTGCTCAGGGGGCCCTCTCGGAGCAGCGACGAGGCGTCCGAGGGCAGGCTCTTCAGCCGCTCCAGCTCTTTGGTGTGTTTCCTAACCAAGCCTGCTTTCTGCAGCTGAATGAGCGACTCCTGATGCTGCATCAAGTAACTGTTCGCGCTCGGCTTTTCCAAGTCTTTGCCGAACAAGTGCTTCAGATCCTTGGTAGGTTTGCTGTCTTTTCTGCCCAGAGACTCTTCTTTCACCGCTTCTGCGGTAAGGAGGTTCTTGTCACAGTGCGAGTTTCTCCTGGGCAGCAGAGTTCTGACCGGGGTTTTTGGTGCATCTTTTCCTTTCTCCAAAACGCCGCAGTGCTGGTCGAGTGATTTGCAAGCGCCAGCCTCCGCCGCGGCGGGTCCCCCCCGCAGAGGGAGG